TCTTAACCGTGGCTTGTGTACTGCAAACACATACCAGCTTCATCACTGTGTCTGTCACGCGACTCTGTTCCCCTTTCAGGCTCTGTCTTTACATTTATTTTGAAAGATGAAGCTCGCGATTATGGTAAGGGGCGTTACATTTCTGACGAGTGCTTGCAGTGTTCGGCCAATCACAAGGCACTGGGTCAGCTGGCCAATCAGAGCAGACTGCGCTTGTCAAAGGAGGGGGCTTTGTTGAAAACGAAGTGTTTGAGAGAGGCGGGGCATAGAGGACCTACAATAATGTACAGTATTTGAAAAATAATGTGTTTTTTGAACATTAAAGCATGTCAACATATTCTGTGACACCAAATACACAAAATAATGATCTTTAAAAAAGCATCATATGACCCCTTTAAAGGGGTCATCGGATGCAAAATTAACTTTTTCAAGTAGTTTGAACATAAATGTATGTTGGAAGTGTGAGTACACATCCATCCTATAATTATAAAAATCCATCCAGTGTTTTTTTTTTTTTAATCCCTATTTTAAAATCTCCTTTCTCAAACCAGGCTGTTCTGAGATTCCTGTCAGAATGACGTAGTTCTGTACAGGCCCCTCCCACGATAGTTTGATTGACAGTAGTGTTTCAGCACAGACTGGACTGGTGTCTTACCTTAGACCCGCCCTGAGTGATCTGTCATCAGGCCCCCATTGTGTTGACGCGGGTGCAGGGGAAGACAAGATGTCTCCGATTAAGCGATTGAGGTGCTTTATTGTTGGATGTAATAATGAATATAGCAATCGTCATTTACTCCCGACATCTGAGCCGCTGAAGACGCAGAGGATTAACGTTACTTTCACTTTGAAGTGAATGCGCCACTCCCGATCAGCCTAAATGCATCTATGTTCACTCGAATCATTCGTGATCCAGCCTCATCTACAGAAGAAGTGAGTATAAGGGTTTTTTATGAATCTTTGCAAATCACCTTTCCTAATAATGTGCTAATTAACAAGTTTCACGATGAATGCGGCTGAAGTAAAGAGCGGCTCTGAAGAGAGGGGCGGGACCAGCAGAGCTCATTAACATTTAAAGCAACATGGACTATAATGGCTTGATAAAAACAGAGCTGATTTTGACAGGTTCAGAAATATGTTTTTTAACTTTTAACCAAAGTATGTTATAGACTTTTAATTAAGACCCTAAAGAGTCATATCAACTTGTGCAAAATTTGCATCCGATGACCCCTTTAAATATATTTAAGGTGTAAGGAAAATATTACTTTTTACTTGATGGATACACCACATTCATTCACCACAGGCATTAAATTGATACTTTGTATGATTATACTCTCTTATTCACTTATGACCCTCACAGGATGCATTTGTATATTTGTGTATTTTAGGAGATTGACTCACTCGTGGAACCTAAGTACCAACTGGCCAGTGGTCTGATAGATCAAAAGGCAGCAGGTGTGGTTGATGCACGTCAGAAGGCCGAGAAACTACGTCAGGAGGCAAAATATCTATTAATAGATGCCACAAGCAAACTGCAGAGACTGAGAGGTACAACTGCTCCCAGATTTGAAGATTAGATTATAGATTTACCTATGATTCCTGACTTTTCTTCCTCTTTAACTCTTCCAGAGCTGGAGAGATCATTTGAGGAAAATCAGCACATTCTGGTGGAGAAAGCTCAGGAGCTGGATGGACTGGAGAAGGAGGCCAGAGATGTACTGCAAGAACTCAGTCAGAAAATCACCATCTACAGCACCTGCGCTTAACTACCAAGAACTAATAAATAAAATAATACGCTCAGATTATAATCAGTTGTATATTATCAAAAACATGTTGCCTGAATCCAATTCAAGGTATCACATTGAAAAAGCAATGCAAGATTTTACTATGACCCTTCAATGTATAGCTATATATTTTTGTCTTTTCTATGAAACTATGAAAAAACTCATCCAGTGTATTGTGTCCGATATGAAGAATATTGCAGTGTGCAATTACCGCAATAATACTCGACAAACATTCCTCTGGGCGGAATAAGAGGAAGCCCCATCCATTGTGAACAGCAAATCAGTTTGGCTTTGCTTGATAAAACTGATGGTGACAAATGAAATGCCAAAATAAAAATTTGATAAAAACTGTGGAAACAGCAAAATGATGAAAACAACTATTGTACGATGTTTATTAAACATTTAAACGCATTAACTGATAATACAATAATCATTTAATAATAATAAAGCTTGAGTCAATTGAATATATAAATTACGTCTTCTCTAACTGTCGGTTTCATTTGATCGATTTCGATGTTGCTGTTATGCATATCTATGATTTTGCTGAAATTGGAGACAAAAAAGTCCGTAAAGCGACAAACGCAATGAGAGACTAACTCAAAAGGAAGGTAAACAGGTTTGCAAATTGCTTCTACAAAAACGAAACGACAGAAAAACGTTAACCAGTGTTGTGGAGTCGCGAACTACAAGTACAGCGACGCTGTTAGCTTAAAATGTACAAGCAAATTACTATTTATTTATTTTCCCAAGAATTCAACCATTTTACAACATCATCAGTAGAATACGTTCTAGCAATATTCACTCTTTTGAGTCGGTTTTTCTCAATAAATACGTCAAACGGAAAGCTAATCAATACATTTTGGTCTGAGGCTCAGACTGAATCACTTCACTCAAGTACTGAATTGTTTGAGGTAAATTCGATGTCTAACAGTCTTTTCGGATTTAAAAGCTCGGTCTGTATTTCTAGCCCGGAGTTTTGTTAAATATAGTGGCGTGTACTGTCATGCTTTTAAGTTTATTATTCCACTGAGTCTGACGACATGTTAATTGAAGCTTTTTTTCCCTGTAGTTTCATACCGGAGTTCATCATGCTCAGCTTCCTTCATCAACCACAATAGGGCGACAACCATCTTAAAGTCGCTGAAGCAAACGCGTTATCAGTGACCTTTGAAAATAATGAAAGACATTCAACGCTTCAGGTCTAGCAAAGGATTATCTTTCAGGTAACTAATGGCAAACAGCACAGGCAGTGTAATATAAAATGAGCTACAACTACATTTTAACAAGAAATAGTTAGAAGAACGAACAAAATGGTTTCATCCACTGAGAAACGCATCTGGTGGTTGAGTAAATAAAGAATCAACAAATAGTCCAATTTCAGTAAAAAATGAGGCCGTTTATTTTTAGGTTTAGACCACATTTAAGACCAGACCAATCTCCAACCACATGGACACTGAAGCATGTATAAAATCAATTTCCCCATGCTTAAAAGGTTAAAGGCTTCTAAAACTCTAATTATACACCACATTTTAGGTCAGGTTGGTGGGTAAATTCTGATTTTGTGGCTTATACAATCTTCAGTCAAAACCACAGGTAGGCACACACTCAAAGAGACTGAAATCAATTTGCATTGTGGGAATAATTAAAGCATACATTAAACCAAGCAAATTAAAAATGTATATAAAAAAATAGCAATTCTAACTTCCACGAGGGACAGTTCAGAATGTGTTACATAAACTTGACAGAGACATTTGTTTCCTTCTCATGTTCTAGTTTCTATAACCCCCAAGGCATTTCTATTACACAACAAACAAAAAGACAGTGTTTCCATCTTTTATGGTCAGTACAGAGCACCACTGCTCAGACTAAAGTATAAAAACAAAAATACCCCACACAGAATCTCATAAACCTGGGCGCTGTGTTTAAAGTGCCAGTGAAAAGAACTTCAGGCAATTTTAATAGTACAAATAATGCTAGAAAACAGTAAACGGACGAAACTCACAAAGCATGTCTAAAACATGTGCGTATTTGTTTGTATTTCACACAAAATTTTAAATAAAAAAAATAAGCATACATTTTACTGCATAAAGAAAATTAAGCATTTTTTAAGACCATTACCTTTTTTGCATTCTAACATTATAATTAAACATTTCCCAAACGTTCTCATTAATGCAATAAAAAACGTATTATTAAAATGAGAAAAAAAGCTACTCAAATTTTCTTCAACTATTGTTTTCAGATAGAATCAAAAATACATGAATAATATTTATAATAATAATGAGAATTACTCAAAAGTAAACCACCCATGAGAAAACGTATCATGACAATAATGTCACAGTACAAAAAAAATAGTAATAATGATACAAAAATAAAATAAAATATTAATATTAATAAATCTATGGTCTCTAATTAGTCTTCATGTTCTTTATCTTTTCTTATGATTGTGGGATGAAATATTACCCAGATGTGTTTTTGAGAGACTATACACACCATCGCCACCTAAAAGCACATAAAACGTGTAAAGTTAACCTTTACTTTTAAGACACAGCTTACAAAAGTTATTCGAAATAACACAATATAGTCACAGAGATGGACCCGTTTCTGCTACAGTACATCATGAATACTCTTTCACATACACACAAAAACACAACAGACCAAAAAAAAGAAGAAGAAAAGAAGGAAAGTGTTAAAGCCATCATCTTAGGACAGTCACATTATGAAGGGAACATCCCAGGAGGAGCACTTTATCTGACGAGAACATCACTGAACATGCATGTTTCATGTCCCTCATCTGTGCAGCAGCATTCGTTCTATTGCACACTGCAACTGCTCCCAGTTGCTCCAGCTATACACCAGTAGACACACGCATGCAAAAGTCCCGAACATGTGTAGACGACTTCGCATCAGTGGAGCGGAAAACTTAGCAGCAGTGGAGACGCACACCAAGATCACAGTGACGATGGCCAGCATGATGTTGATAAATTTTCCCAGCAGCACTTTGGCGTCGGCGCTTTCCAACTGCAAGACCTGCTGCTGCTGTTGCTGTAACTCCAACTTACTCACTCGCGTCTGACAAACTTCTAAAGCATCCTGCGGAGAGGAAGAGAAAGACACACAATTCCAGTTTTTAAATCTGATTGGCCAAGCAGCATTTCTTTGAATATTTGATATTTAGGCCCCGTCCACACAGAGACGTGTTTAGCTGTATATGCATACATTTTTTATCGTATAGGTGTTTCGTCCAGACGGATCCGGGGTTTTGGGAGAGTGAAACCGGTATTTTTTTAAACCAGGGTGTGCGATATATATCGTCTGCGATAATATCGTAATTGTTGTTTTAACGATGTGCGATTTGACACTATCGAGTATTGGTGATTCATGTATGTTATATATGGGGGTTATTTCATGTTATATGTGGGAATTATATTTCTTACATGCTCACAGCAGCATGTCTGTGGTTGTATTGGCAGTAGCAAGTCTCGGTACTTGCTCTGCTGCAGCAGGAGCATAGCAGATCTATTCCGCCAAAACAAAACACATTAACATTGCCATGTATATTACCATGCTAAACTCTCAGAGGGTTGTCATAACAGAATTACATTATAATGTAATGTGTGTAATGTAATTTTTAAATAGTGTTTTTAAAAATGAACACTAAATGAGCATTAGATAATGGTAAAGGTAATCTAAAAGGAAAAAAAGATAAATGAGCTTGCATAACTAATTCAATGTCGACCATTATCGATCTATCGATTGATCGTTATCTAGAACACTAATGTGTTACCAAGATTATTTACCTGAACCGCTCCTCTTGTAGTGTTTGCATAATATTCTCAAATTCACATCTAAACTGGGTCTTCAGAGTGTCAATGTCTTCTGACAGTAGATTCTGAGCTTCCCTCAACTCCCTGATGTCCTCCCAAGCTTCCACCAGCCGGCTGCTGTTTTCCCCTTGGCCTTCTTCTCTCCCAGACCCGCTGTGCTGCCCTGTCACACCTGATCCAGTCACATGACCATTACTCTCAACTGACATTGACGTCTCTGTGGAGCACTCGTCATCACTCTGGTATTTGGGCTTAGGGGTTATGGTGGCACTGCCGCTAAGGTTTCGGGCTCCCCCCTCCGCCTGCAGCCCACTTCCCGTCTCCATGGTGCTCTTCAGGTGTGCAATGTTGTCCGCGCTACCAAATTTGTTGCGAATGAGGTTTGCAATCTCTCTGGATTTGCTGAAGAAGAACGGTGGCGACAGTGAAACTCCCGGGCCAATAGTTTTGACTTTGTCCAAATGTGGGTGGCGCCCACTTCCTGTGACCACACTGTCCTTGAGGTTGTCTTTGAGCATCTCATTTTCTTTGGAGTGTGGTGGCGTGTGTTTGGTTCCATTCGAGATGTCACACCCCTTCATCTTGCGTTGATATTGCTCTAGCTTCTTCTGAAGCTGAGCGATATTGTGTGCCGTTTTCTGGTTCTTTTTCTCGAACACCTGTTTGATGCGGCTGCTCTGCTGCTTGTCGGCGCTGTTAATGAGTTTGAGATACTCAGCCACGTTCTCATCCTGTAAATTTTGCTCAATTCTCAGCTGCTCTTTCACTTTTAGCACTTTCTGCTGCAGGGTGTCCAGACCAGTACGTGATCGTGGGGTGTCCCGTACCACCAGATCAGAATCCAGATCTAAACAAGTCTCTGAACCTCCTCTACGCATGACCATTGGCACGCTGAGGGTGTTCACATCACCACCTCTCTCACCCTGAAAAGGAACAGAGAGAGAATAAAATGAATAACTTCAGGATGGATACAATAAGTGTCACACAAAGAGCTTGCATTTAGTACTGGCCAAAATAATAGCAATACATTTGATATTACATTGTTGGCCATACAAAATAGTTTTAGTATTATTTTTGTAGTATATATGTTTTAGTATTATTTATTTTTATGTGCTTGTGACATTATTATTGTTATATATATATATATATATATATATATATATTTATTTATTTATATAGTTCACTTCCAGAGTAAAAATTGCCTGATAATTTACTCACCCCATGTCATTCAAGATGTTCAAGTCTTTCTCCAATGGGTTGAAGGTACAAATTGAGGGCTCAAAGGGCTCTACACATGATCCCAGCCGAGGAGTAGGGGTCTTAATATCCAGCAAAACGATCGGTCATTTTCTTAAAAAAAAACATAATTTATGTACTTTTTTTACCACAAATGCTCATGTTGCACTAGCTTGACCTCACGCATTATGTAGTCACGTTGGAATGGTCAAGTGTGAAGTAGGCGGAAGTACCGACCCAGTGTTTACGAAGCGTGCAAAATGTGCAAAGACTAAAGGCCATTGCACACTTAGTCTGAAATTTTCGCATGTTGAAATATAAATACGACCTCACGTTGTGTCAATCGCGTTTACACACTGCCTCCGAAAACTTTCGTCCGTCATAAAAAAATTCGGATCAGGTTAGATTTTCTGCGTTTTCGCATCTGTTGCAAGCATTTTGATAGGAAAGGTTGATGAATACGCAAAAATTTTGGACTCAAAAAAAGGTAAAACAACGATGTCAGATGAAGTTGCACTGTAAAAAAAATTGTTTCAACTTAAAATAATTTGTTACCCCGCTGACTTTTGTCTAGTCCAGGGATGGCAAACTCCGGTCTGCCCTGCAGAGTTCAGCTCCAACCCTAATTAAAACTCAACTGCCTGTAGCTTTCTAGTAACCCTTCAGACCTTGATTAGCTTGTTCAGGTGTGTTTGATTAGGGTTGGAGCAAAATTTTGCAAGGCTGCGGCTCTCCAGGACAGATGTTCGCCACCCCTGGTCTAGTCAACTAAAATATCTAAGGGTGCTTTCACACCTGGCCCGTTGTTTCGGAACCTGGCGCGTTTCCCCCACTTAGCTCGGTTCGTTTGGGAATATGTGAACACGGCAATCTCGCTCGGATCCGCGCCAAAACAATCGGTCCGAGATCGCCTGAACGAGGTGGTCTCGACTCGATTGAAAGCGAACTCTGGAGCGGTTCGGTTGCAGTGAGAAAGCAATCCGATCTAACGGACCAACGAACCAGGCTATATCGCAATGTATAATGGGTAATTACGTAAGTTCCGTGAAAAATATGTATTAACAGCTGCATGTACTTAACCTTTTTGTAAAGAAATCTTAATATATCTTTTGGTGTGGATATATGCCAATTAATTAAATATAATTAGCACAAGATACATTCATTATTCTATTCAATACGTACACGAATCAAAACATTTTTCAAACCGAATATGTGTACTTAATCTGCCAAGCAAGCACAATTATGATGCTGTTAATATCAAAACAGCTCAATATTATCCACTTAATTGGCCTAATATACTGCATAATTGCACAAGTGAAAAGAACATGGCTTTTCCTGTCAAATGGCGTTTAATGATTAATGCTTGTAAAAGCTCTAATCATGTTTGTGCATGTGTCACTGAAGCAACTCTGAACCTCTTCTAACTTTGACCAAACTGTATCAGTGTCTTCAGGGCAGAAACGGTGCTCTGGAGAACTAGGTCAGTCAGATCAAACGTGTAAAACAGGCCGTCTGCTCATCTAACCTTCCTTACTTTCTCCTTTCTCCTTCCTGTGACATACACACACCTGGTGTCTGATTCACGTCATTAGTTATCTCTGCAATCTGGAATTTATCTTTTTTTTTTAAACATGCAGATTTCTTTAATAATATTGGCACATAACTTTTTTCTTTGATAATAATCTTAAATACTTAAAGGATTAGTTCACTTCCAGAGTAAAAATTGCCTGATAATTTACTCACCCCATGTCATTCAAGATGTTCAAGTCTTTCTCCAATGGGTTGAAGGTACAAATTGAGGGCTCAAAGGGCTCTACACATGATCCCAGCCGAGGAGTAGGGGTCTTAATATCCAGCAAAACGATCGGTCATTTTCTTAAAAAAAAACATAATTTATGTACTTTTTTTACCACAAATGCTCATGTTGCACTAGCTTGACCTCACGCATTATGTAGTCACGTTGGAATGGTCAAGTGTGAAGTAGGCGGAAGTACCGACCCAGTGTTTACGAAGCGTGCAAAATGTGCAAAGACTAAAGGCCATTGCACACTTAGTCTGAAATTTTCGCATGTTGAAATATAAATACGACCTCACGTTGTGTCAATCGCGTTTACACACTGCCTCCGAAAACTTTCGTCCGTCATAAAAAAATTCGGATCAGGTTAGATTTTCTGCGTTTTCGCATCTGTTGCAAGCATTTTGATAGGAAAGGTTGATGAATACGCAAAAATTTTGGACTCAAAAAAAGGTAAAACAACGATGTCAGATGAAGTTGCACTGTAAAAAAAATTGTTTCAACTTAAAATAATTTGTTACCCCGCTGACTTTTGTCTAGTCCAGGGATGGCAAACTCCGGTCTGCCCTGCAGAGTTCAGCTCCAACCCTAATTAAAACTCAACTGCCTGTAGCTTTCTAGTAACCCTTCAGACCTTGATTAGCTTGTTCAGGTGTGTTTGATTAGGGTTGGAGCAAAATTTTGCAAGGCTGCGGCTCTCCAGGACAGATGTTCGCCACCCCTGGTCTAGTCAACTAAAATATCTAAGGGTGCTTTCACACCTGGCCCGTTGTTTCGGAACCTGGCGCGTTTCCCCCACTTAGCTCGGTTCGTTTGGGAATATGTGAACACGGCAATCTCGCTCGGATCCGCGCCAAAACAATCGGTCCGAGATCGCCTGAACGAGGTGGTCTCGACTCGATTGAAAGCGAACTCTGGAGCGGTTCGGTTGCAGTGAGAAAGCAATCCGATCTAACGGACCAACGAACCAGGCTATATCGCAATGTATAATGGGTAATTACGTAAGTTCCGTGAAAAGCATTAGCTTTGTTGTTTTGCTAATACTTCAAAATGAACCATGTGAATGTTTGTGGGTGAGCACGTCTTCGCCATTCAAAATCAAAGCGCACTTTTTAATTTTATAATGCCGTCTTATTGCTCTTCTTCCTAGTATGTGCATTTTAATGATTTCCCGATGAATCCTGGACTCCTGCTCAGTGATAAATTAATATAACGACATTTACAAAAAAAACAAAAAAAAACTATAAGCCCGCGAAGCTGTTGTCGTTCCATCCTGACAG